CCTCACCTTCGACATGGGCGGCGGCGGTAGCTGATCAGGTTCAGGCGACCTGTGCGAGCTTGAAGAGTAAGAAGATTGGGATAGACTCCGCCCCCTCCCTGATTTCATATTTGGGGAACGTTCTGCTGGCAGTTCCACTGCGGGCGCCCCCGCTGGGGGCTGTAGCGCAGGTTCCCCAGCGCCAGAGACAGTCGGCGGAATCGGCCTCTTGGGTGCCATGTTCGCGATATTGGCCTTGCGTTTGCAACCCGGATCATATCTATCAACGCCGACCCTTCTTCTAACAGGGGCAATCGGAGTGTGAAAGTGGGGGCGGGGCGCAGCGTCCCAGCAGCGGCGTCTTTATGGGGCAATGGGCGATGCGTCCTCGATTGCTGCGTTCGGCGGGGGCGCCAGTCGAAGCTTCCCGAGCGCCCCCGCGCGCGAGACTTGAGGGGCAACGAAGCCAGGGGGCGGGGGGCTCGCGAAAGGAGGCGAAGGCAACGCGCGCTGAGGGCACAGAGACTGAAAGAAATGGTTGGAACAGGCGAACGCGGCGAGGTGAGTGACAAAATCTGCCCAGCCAACCTGACATGCGGAACACCGCGCCCCAGTTTTAGGTGCCTTGAAGGCCAGGGCAAAAAGGTGGATTCGCATTGTGGGGAGAAGCAACATGCGAATTCACTGCTCGGGAAAAGAACAATGCGAGTTCACATTGTGGAAAAAAGGGAAATGTGAATTCCCATGTTGGAGTTCCTATTGTGGAAAAGCGGAATCTGTATGAAGGGGCCAGAATGTGAATTCACATGTTGGGGCAAAGGAAATGTGAATTCACATTTTGGGAAAAGGGAAATGCGAATTCACATTTTGGGGGATTCGCGGGGCCCATTCCAAATATGCCTTGGGGGTCGATAGTCACCGCTTGGGAGCATGCGCGATCCTCAATCGCACATTCAAGACGCACTTGCACTCCACTTCGCCGCCCCACGCGCAATATGCAAGGACGCCCGCGCGCGTGGACGACGATGGGCGGGCGGCGCGCGGGCGCGAGCGATAGGCCTTCCATGGCCACCGACGTTGGATGCCAATCGTACCCGAACACCTGCATGAGCGATACATTGAGCATACACGGGCCATTCAGCCCACATTGAAGACCCCCTGTTGCAGACCGCCTCTTTCACCCTCCAAGGTAATTATCCAACCTGCCTGTTTGCAATGGTAGGCGACTTTCCTGCCTGGGGCGAGGTCCATATCTTCTGCTATCCTGTCATAATCATCTATGTGTGTGTGTGTTAGTATCGTGGGTATCTCCCGGCCAGGAGCTGTGGGCTCATTCGGAGTAGCACGATTCAGACTCTGGGTCGGACCCGGAAGGGGCAGCCTCAGCGGGGCCCACTGCGATGACAAGAACCTCACGACCAGCCCCTCATCACCTTCTGGATGGGCAGCACCTTCATGAGAAGAAGAAGCGGGTTGCCCCGCATGCTATTCTCGATGGTATACTTTGAGGCGGCGGTTCGTATCGAAGTGCTGCCAGATTCGGTCGTTCCGATTGATATCTCTCTCAACAATCGGCTGGTTGTCAGCGTCAGTCAAACATTCTGCAGGTGGATGATTAGTCGGATCCACTCTGCGACCCAGACCATCACCGCGAGGCCAGACCCCTGGGGTTCTTCCGAAGTTAGGGCTCCTTGATGGACGCCCCATCGGACACGTGGGTCCGCGATCGGCAAAATATTCGCAAAGACAGACGATGCCCCAGTAGGTCTTCCGGTCACTGATGACGGCCCACTTGAGGTCCCGTCTTTGACGGTGTTCCATCGTCTTGGCGCCCCTGCCCCTGTCGGCGCGGAAGATCTTGCCTTCGTCATTCCGCTCAACGCTGCGAAGTGAGTACCAGTGATGAATGTCGCGCCTGGTCCTGCCTCGGTCATGCCAATACCGCGTCGCGGTGGGGGGCGTATACTAGCGAGCCGGCCCATGATCATCATGACTGACAAGGCGTTGCGCAACTCTTGCTACGGGCGCAGCTGGGCGGCTCTCCCTCTGAGGCGGGTTTCCCCGCGAGCGCCCCCATCCAAGATGGAGTCCTCGGAGCTCTCATTTCCGGTGGGTTGGGGCGCTGGGCGCCGCTGGGGCGCGCGCGCGAGTGCCCGCGTGAGTGGCCGCGACCGTGGCGCTGCGTGCGTCGGTCTTCAGCTTCGCACGCGCCCTCGCCATCGTCCGAGCAATTCGCGCGTCTCCAGACTTGGCGACTCGCTGATCGCCCATGGCGGCTCGGAGACTGCCCATGCGCCACGAACGCAAGATGATGATCTTCATTATGTCCGAATTCGCACTGGATGCGTTCTGAAAGGTCGCCGACATCTCGCGGGCTTCCCCGAGGATGAAAAATCAGTGCTTTTTCCTCTTCTGTCGCTGGAATTGTAGCTTCAATATCCGCGGGTGCCCCCGCCATATCATGATCTACGTCGGCGGGTAAATAGAATGTCCAAACCAATTCGATCTGTGGAGGTTGCCCCGCGATGGGTTTGCCTAGTCAGTCTGCCAGGTGAATCTCGCCGTGGCCAACGTAAATTTCCACGAAGAGCCCATCGGCGCATCTCTCGAAGGACATGCTGGCACATAGACGCCCGGCAACCACGAAGTTAACAGCTGCGGTCAGATAGCCGGAAGGGTGGGCTAATAGCGCCTCCCAATCGACACGCTGTATGTCCGAAACGGTTTGAGCCAAGTGCATTGACGGACCCCTGCCTCCCCCATCGCCTCGGGGACACTCACGGCGGAGATGTTGTGTACTATGGCAGATATCACATTCCATGGTTCTACCGATAGCATATTCTGGGTTGCCCCGACGTCCCTCGCCATGGCGCGCCTACAGCCCCTGCCTAGGAATAATTATTCATGCTGTGGTCCAGTAAGGGATGCCAGGAGTGCAAGCATACCTCTGCCATGTAATCGCCGTCGTCTTTGCCCTCGCCCTTGCCTCGACCCTTGCATTTTCCCCTAAGTGCCCGTCGGATAGTACGTCGTACCTTGCGAATTGGTTTCTTCATAGACCGTCTCCATCTGCGTTTATGCTTCTGGCATCCTAGGAACAGCCATTGAGCCTGCTGTTCCTCCGCGAGATACGTGGGCATGTCGGCGTGGTCTAGGGCAGTCGCTTCGTCATCTGATGACGTGTCGGCGTCGGTTCCGGAGTCGAAGTCAGACCCGGCGGGTTGCCCCGTTGAGCCTACAAGGGTAGTGGCTTGCGCAGGGGCCGCCATTGCCGACGATCTAGCCCAGGAGTCTTGCGACCCCGTAGGCAGACCACCAGTTTGGGCTAATAGAGCGGTGGTCTCCGTTGGTTGCGGATCGTCATTCCAGACGTTTGTGGCAGGTTGCCCTGCACTAGTTTCAGCATGAAAGGTTTCGGTAAGATGACCGTGGCTGAAGATACCGCCAATATTGACAAGGGTTCGCTCAACTATGTGAGCACATGACCTCATGCGTCCAAATAAATAACCAAATTGTTGTTGATTCCTCGGCATTTGGTGGTTGAATGGCTGTAGGAGGTGTTGTGCGCGCGACGTCCCCACACTCCTAAGGCTCTGAACAGCATAACTGTTAGGATTTGGAAGTTGGGAATGTTCAAGCCTGCAGCTTCAGCGTCGTAGCGGGCTATCTCGAAGCGTGCTAATGTCCAATCAATCCACTTCCCCGCATGGACGCGGAAGTCGATGAGAGCCGCTCCCGCGTTAAATTTGCGTTCCTCCTCGAAGTTCTCAAACTTCGTGCTCGCGAGGAACATGATGTAGGTGACGCCATCGGTACGACGACAACCAATGTTAACGCCAAATTTGATGACTGTGGGGTGAACGCACATGGAGATGGTCCGTGCGAGACCTCCCAGACCACGCTGCAGTGCTGCAGCCTGTTGGGAGGGCGTCATATCGCGTGTGGTCGCGTTGGTCCAGGCATGTACCTCTCGAACGACTTCGTGGAAAGGTACGTGACTGGCCGTATGCTAGGTGGGGGCGGGTTGTTCTTGTGTCATATCCGCCATGCATGTGTCCCACAGCACACCCGACACGACCCATATAAATCAACAAAAAAATCCAATCAAATGGCCTCGTAGGTCGTGGTCGGATGTTTGTGGCTGGGGTTTGTGGTGTTTTGTTGTAAACCTGCGCGGGGGTGGGGTCGGCGCAATATCGTATCGCATGTTGCCATGCATGGTGTATTCAAACAAGTTTCAAGTGGAGGAGGTGGGTGGACTTCAGGAGTGTAATAGCGCAGGGATGTGGGACTCGAGTAAGAGGCCTCCGCGAAAGCAGAGGTAGCACTGCAAGTGTCCTTGTGGTTGCGCGTACTTATGTACACTCCTCCGCGCAGACCCACTGCACCCTGATGTTCCACCATGTCAGTACTCCATCAGATAATGCCGTGGATGGTGGGGAGTAAAACACGAGCTGATCACCATAGCCCAGTTCCGCTACCAAGCTTGAAGGGGGCCCAGAGGCCCAACCAGCAGCTTCGCCTTAGGGGAAGCCCAGCTCCAGCTCTGTTACACCGTAGCAACGATAGTCCCAGTCGGAGGAGATCGTCGTGGGAGCGATGGGCAATCTTAAGCGAAGGTGTTTTCGGTCCCGATGGCAAATAGAGTGCCTCGCGATGAGGCGCAGTCATATGTCAGCGGCCGGCCGCTTGAGCCCAAGCGGAACGCTCGCTATCTCTCGCACCAGTCCCAGCTCACTTTAGAGTGAATGCCGAGTGCTGCCTGGCAAGGTTTCTGCAATCTTCGAATGGCCACACACACCCTCGAGCGCATCGCCGCATGCGCGGCCCCCCCTCCCGAAGCCGCGATCTCTCAAGAACAAGGATGAATCCGTGCCCCAGGTGCCACGATCCTTCACACATCAACGATGGACCAACATCCTGAGCTTCTAAGACGGCCCAGGCAGGCAACCAAGGCCAACAAGATGGCCCAAGATGCGTCGAAGATCACCCAAGATTGCCCCAAGGCGGCCCAATATGGCCTCAAGGCGGTCCAAGATGGTATCTCAGATGTTGCGCCATGTGCTTTCGCACGAGGCGTCCTACGCATTTACTGGACTTCTCACGTATTCACTACGGCCACAGGCTCGAATGGTGCCCCGTCCAACGATATGTTCCGGAGAACAGAACAGAACCATGGCCAGAGGTACTTCGAGCCAGCGATCGTGAGGTGGCCTCCATCCCAGTTGAGAAGCGTATTCGTTCCAGGAATGAAGACGCTGCACGTCTTGTCGGAACAGAGCAAAGGCATGAAGTCGAAGAAGTAAACTCCTGGCAGCTGCGCGGCCAAGCCCCTGGAGATATTTGTGAAAATACGCTGCTCATGTTTGGCCGTCGCGAAAGGTTTCTCGCAGTCGTCCCGAGCGCCTGATGTGAAGCACGTTGGTATACAGCTGGTGCCAGGAGGACCGAATGCCGTCGCGTCACCCAGCAGCAGTAATGAAGCACCGGCATGCGCAAGGTCCTTTGCGAAGCTTTCTACGAAAACCTTGTAATCCTCAAGGTCGTTAGGTGAAGAACGTCTGCGGCCAGCAAGAACGAAGATATCTCCAGGTCTTGCGTACTTCAAAACGGACTTGGTGACCATATCCACGTAAGCATCGCACTCAGGATAACGCCTCTGATAATAGGAAGAACATGGAGCAGTCGTACGGAAAGACCTCAACGAGTACCCGATGGACGCCATCTCCAGGGCGGGCACCAGATGAGATGAGTGAGAGTCCCCCGCGAGCCAAAGAGCCTTCGCGTCATTATCTGCGCCCCTGTCTGGTTGAAGGCACTCGTCAGCCTGTCGGGCCAAGACCGCTCTGTCCTTACGCCAACGCGCAGACCTGCCTGCTACTGTACAGGGTCCGACGAAGGGCGAGCCTGGTTCATCATGGTGGCCACTCAGTGGCGGCGGTGCATACCGATAGCAGGCAGTTAAAGAACTGGCTCCCTCGCCTGTCTGGGCAAACTGTGGAACGTGGAACGTTGGCTCCAGGTAGGAACAACCGCAGTGGTTGTCGACAAGCTTACGCTGCGATGGAGGCGGCGACAGCAAAACAGCCTCGTTGGCGGGGCTCACTCTCCCACATCCAAGGGCAGACTCTGTGGTCCCGAAGATCATGAGGCCTTCGGCATTGAGCAACCAGAGCCATGACAAGCAGCCAAGGACCAGAGGCAGCATGACGGCGAACACTTCCCACTGAATCTTGCTCCTCGGGCGCCATCTCCGCACCTGCCCCTCTAGGACTTCGTGCGAGATGGCGGCGAGCAGGAAGACGAGCACAACGCACAGGGCCGTGGACGCCACGGACTCCTGAGCGAGGTGCCGCCTGAGCACGAGCAGGGGCCAGTGCCACAAGTAGATGGGATACGATAGCTTTCCGACGTAGACCAGCGCCGGGAAACTGAAGCACCAGCTTGTGAACGACAACCGTGACGTACCAGAATCGATGAACGCCAGCGTCCCAAGAACTGCCGGCAGGGCCCCTGGACATGGGAAGCCCTGGTCGTCCCTGGTGCGCAGCAGCGAGTAGCCGATGAGGGCGGCTGCCGCGCCCCCCACCAGGTCTCCTGGGACGCCCAGGGACTGGGATACCGCCTGCCCGCTGGAGACGTGCAGCTCGCAGAGCATGACTCCCGCCATGAGCTCCCACAGCCTTGATGGAATCGTATCCGCCACCGTGCCCCCTGGCAAGCTGAGGCGTGGCAGGATGCGAAGTGCTGTCTGGCAGTCGGTGGCTCGCTAACATGGATTAGCGATCCAAGGATTTGGCGCGCGGTCGCCAAATCATTGGATCGGGGGACATGCCATCCCCCAAAATGCGGCCGGTGCCGCCTCGTTCGGCGGCGGAAGCCAGCGATTTCTCACATGAAAGAAGGACCCGTCGCTAATCCACGCCCCCTTGAACCATGTGTGCGATCGCCTGAGAAGTGCTGTCTGGTGTAGGAACGTCACGCTCTCCATCGCAAAACCATCGACACCCAAGAAACCCAGGGCACCCTGGAGGCGAGCAGGGTGTTTCTTGGCATGGGCCCCCACTGTACTCGAAGCTCCCCCGCCCCCGCCCTGCCGGCAGATCTCTGCGCGCATCCGCCCCCCCCCCTCCCGAGGCTCCCTGGGCGGCCCGACGCCTCCCTGGCGTTCTCCAAAGCGCCATAGGGTGCCCAGGATGGCTTCCAAGACAGCCCAGGCAGGTCACCAAGGCCACCAAGATGGTCCAAGATGGCGCCACGAGAACCCCGAGGAGGGCCCGAAGATATTCAAATCACGGACCAGGACGGACCAAAGAGGGCCTCAAGCTGGTCCGACAGGGCCTCAGAGGGACCCAAGACAACCTGCGAGGACCCCTGGGCTGCCCAAGACGGCCCTACAACGGCCCTGAGTAACCCCCCGGACGGCCACGAAGGCCCGTAGAAAGCAGCAGGACGGCCAAACAAGGCCCCAAGACGGCCCAAAAGGCCCCGATGGACCCTGAGGACCGCCCCACTGACGCCGAACACGGCCACGAGACGACCCGATCGAGGTCCAGGAAAGCTCTTCGAAAAACTGAGACGAAGGGTGTCAGCTGCGGCGGTTATCCTTTTCCTCTTCCTCTTCCTCCTCTTTTTCCTCCTCCTCCTCCTCATCATCATCATCATCATCATCCCCTCCTCCTCCTCCTCCTCCTCCTCTTCCTCCTGCTCGTCGTCGTCCTCCTCCTCCTCATTCTCCCCCTCCTCACCGTCATCACCATCATCATCAACATCAACAGTAGCATCATCATCATCATCATCATCATCATCATCATCATCATCATCATCATCATCATCATCATCATCATCATCCGAATCACCATCATACTCATCATCAACATCATCATCACCGTCAGCATCAACATCATCGTCAGAATCATCATCATCATCAACATCGCCATCATCCTCACCACCGCCACCGTCACCATCATCATCATCATCATCATTTCGCTTCATTTGGTGCCTGCTTAGGGCCTGTGTGGCCGCAGCTCATGCCTCGCCCAGTTCAGCCCGCAACCAGTGCAACTCAGATCGTGAAGTAAGACGTCGTGCTGGTGAGGAATCCCACATTCCCCTCTCACTACAGTCAAAGAAAACGATGCCACGGCAAGCTCGAACGCTAGGAGTTCGGTTTCGCAACTGTCCAGTCCAGGGGCACACATACCTCCAGCTGCCAGCAACATGCAAGTTCCCTGGCCAATCCCTCGCACGCCGAAGATACCCCATGCCGCAGATGACTCCTGCGTTCCGCGCCGGCACGCGCCGTCGGAGACCACGGCGAAATCCGCGCAACCGCATGCCGATGATAATAAAGGGACCCCCCCCCTTCAGTGTTTAGAGTTGATTATCGTCGCCCTATACAAAATTCAAATTGGGCGGCGAGCGCTGAGGCCGAACTTCATTATCACCTCGAAACGCTATGTTGAGATACCCCATGCCCATGCCCATGGTTTAAGTCCTTCCTTTCTTTTCTTTATGATGTATCTCTCTCTTTGTTTATTTTTTTCTCTCTCTCTCTCTCTCTCTCCATGCCCCCCTCTGAACTTTTTTATCCCTGGGGTTGATTATCCATGGAAAATGAAGCACATGAGCATTTAAAAATTTTAATTTTCATAAAGCGCTTGTAAATAAAATCTAATACATTTGAACTTGGGATTTTTCCTTCTCTTTCTCCTCCTCCTCTGTTTTCTTTTCTTTTTGATGTTCCTTTTTCTTGTTCATTTCTTATTGTTTCTTTTTTTTGTTTGTGTATATCGCTTTCTCCATTCCTCCGCCCGCCTGAACTTTATTATCGCCGCGGTTGATTATCCAGGGGCACCGAGGCGGATGAGCTATTCCGAGGATGTCTCAAGCGAAACAAGCATATACTCGAGGATGTCTCAAGCGAAACAAGCATATACTGAAGGATGTCTCAAGCGAAACAATGGATTTTGTGAGGATGTCTTCAGCGAGATAAGCCATTGTTGAGGATATTTCTATGAAAACTAAACGCCAAGGATGTCTCAAAACGTGATCGGCTTGGTCTCCTCTTGATCATCTCTTACTTCGAGATTATGCTGAGGTCTGCTGGGCTACTTTTATTATCTCTCCCTGAACCCCGAACTTTATTATCCCCTAGTGTTTATTCTCACGGGCATGAGGTTAGTCAGTAAGCTTCTCTTTCGATCACCAACCAAGCGAGCACGTGGAATCAATGGCGTAGTTGGCGAGCGCATCCGCGACCGCGTGATCCTCGCGCGGCACCCATTGCACTCGAGAGTCTGCGGGCCCTCCAATGTTCCAACCGCACTCCAAGACATGACGCGCGAGTATTTCCAGGACGGCGTTCAAGCGAAGACAAATCCGATGCATAATAACAGCCGTCGCGCTACACCACTCGGACAATGGCTTGTCATCCACCCTGAAAACAAAAGAACGTCCAACAGAGGATGGAGAGGCGAGCAGCCTGGATGGATATTGGCATGTACACTCTCCCTGGACGGGTACGTAGATGCACTCTGCAACGAGGGTCTTCTGAAGGTCCCGAGCGGCACAAATCTCGTTGACGAAGTCTCGCCGGCATGATTGCGAATCGCTCCCGTCAGCTGCTGCCCGCCAGTTCTCCCCGTGAGCGACCAAGAGCGGGTTCCGCCAGGGTCTGCGGCAGCCGCTATTCCAGTGCCTCCATTTCGTCTCGTTCTTAGCGTCGCTCCTCCCCATCGCTGGGGACATGTCCATCCACCACCTCTCATTGCGAGAAACCAATAAATCATGTGGGGGCCATGCTCCTCCTGGCAGACGGAACTTGCAGATGGCGCGCGCCCGAGAATGCGGGGCCGAGATGGCGCTGTGGCGGGCTCTCCACTGGCCGTACTTGTCAAACCACTCTTGGGTTATCTTCGACGTTCGCTGGATGCGCCCTTGGCGGATCTCGCCAGGCCTTCTGGGAAATCCCCAAACTTGTCGTAACTTCTGATTCTCCCACGCCCGCATGCGGCTCAAACTGCGTTAATTGAGGTGCAGAGCTCCAGCGTTATACAGCAGCGCATTCCTCACCGTCCCGTTGAACTCGCGCGTCCTGGAACCCGCATTCCCGAACTTCCAAGCCAGCAGCTTGTGGCACTTATAAAAGCAAGAACCGGCCTTAGACAATCGATGCTCTACGCTGCGTTCGGTGGAACCTGCCCGGTCTAGCATCGCACCCAGTGCGAGTAACTCTGCAACCGGCTTGATGACCATGTTCTCGCCAGCAGGGGAAAGAAAGCGGCGCCCGAAGCTTCCCGCAACGTTCAGACTGCAAGTGGGCTCTACGGATATCGTTTTCCAGGCATGCCCATGCTTGTAGATAGCGCCTGTAACGCCGTGGAACAAGAGTCTGGGTTCCCTTGCGGACTTTGCGATCAAAGACACGTTGTCGCACCGAAAAGCGTGGTTCACGTAAGCGGCGCCATCCAAAGTAAATCCTGCCTTCTGCTCTTCCCGCCCCCCGACTAGATCCCCCAGCGCCGCCTCCATCAATGCGCTGAACAGGTCGAATTTCCACTCCTCCTTGACGGCCGCCTCGCTCATAGGGAAAGTAATCGGACGGGCTGGCATCGGCTATCTTGACCGCGGCGCGAAGGCCCACGAGCTCGCTCAGCAGAGCTGCCGATACTTGTGGGTGGAGCCCACGGCGGCGCAAAGCCCAACCGATTTCCGAATGTTTCATCGCATCGAAGGCCGCGCGGACATCACCAGTAATAATGTAGACGTCGCGCCCCCAATCTCTGCCAAGGTGTGAGCGTTGGCGCAGCAACTCTGTAACCGCGAGGGCGGACATGCCATGCTTGTAGTCATGAGCGTGAACCTTGCTCGGCGCAACGTTGCTGCGGACGCGGTCTAAGTAAGACGCACTTGAGGTACCGCGTCTGCATGGCTGGCGATTTCGCGATGAAGCGGAACTCTGTCAAGTCGATGGGTCTCGAAATATTTGGAACGCCCAACAGTTCCAACGCCCGCCGCCAAAGGAGACGCTTCCCATTCCCGAAATTCGCATTGAAAACAGCTTCCAAATTTGAATTACCATGACTAAAGGAATCGAGTTCCGAACCTCTTTGGCCGCTCCATCCTGGCCAGGGGCCGATCCACTTGACAAACTCGCCCTGGACGAGAATGCAGAAACCAAAACAAGTTTAGGGCAAGGTCGGCCGTCCATGATTTCATTCTGGGCGTGAGCTCGAAGAGCTTGAAGTCTCGAGTGTTGTGCTTGATTATTGTTGCCTCCGTCGCCGTACCTGTTCCGGCGCATCTGGGAGGCTTCCTGACGCCACTCGCCCCGAGAAGACGATTGAGCACCGGTCCCGAGCAATAAAGACTGCAGCGGGGCGCATGAATTCCGAGCGCGCCCCCCTAGCGCTTGGAGCTGATGGCGGTGGGCGCGTCGGAGATGAGCGCGGCGTAGTTGTTGTCTCTCTGTGCGCTTCTGCTTTCGCCCAGCGATGTCCTCCTCCCCTTTCCAAGCGAGACGGGCCTCGCACACTTCTTCCGGCGCGCTCCGAGACGCCGTCGATCGCTGGCATTCGGTCGCATGCGGCGTAGTCGAAGTTATTCTGGCCACACCCGCCTCGATCGAGTCAAGACCATGCCGACTCTGATCTCCATCAGCCCACTTGGGCAAATCGTGCACATCCGAAGTCGACGTCGGCGCCCGCCCCGCA